GTAATGATGAAAGCGATAGCAAGATTTTGCCTCTGGTGAACTCTGATGTTTAAATGCAATTAAAGAAAGTATCTATCAAGTTAATCAACAAGATAAAGAGAAAGTGCCGGAAAAGCAACCTCTCGAGAAAAATATCAAAGTTCTTCAGAAATTTCAAGACAATTACAGTCAAGGCAGTGAGCGAAAGCAAAGACAACTGCAAAAAGTTTGTGGTAGCCCATCCCAAAGTAATATTATTAAGACGTATGAAAAACAGCGGAAAATGGATGCCAAGCAAAAAAAATTTGTATCAGTAACAATGCCAAGCAAAAAGCATGTAACAACATTTTTTAATAGTGAAGCTTCTACAATTTTTTCTCTCATGATGGACAAAGTAACAAGTAGCAAAATCTCTGAGATTTCTAACACTCCCCCCCTTAACTCCCCAACATCTGATTTTATATCAGGTGATGACGCTCCTGAAGACACACAACTTTTATTTCCATCATTACGGATAAATAGTTCTGATAAGGGATCTTCATGTTCGTCTCAAAATCCATCATGTTTGTTGGTACAAATCATCACTTCTGGTGCAAGCTTTGAAGGACGTTCTTCGTCAACTTCAGAGGCTGATCAAAATGAAAGTTGTTCAACTTTTTACAAAGTAGATGAGAAAAAAACAAAGTTACAAGAGAAGCCTCGTTATTTCTACAATTTTAAAGATAAAGGTATTTTTATGGTTTATGATTAATAATTCAGATGTTTATGGTTTAGGTAGTTATGGTTTTGACATTCTTTGCCGGTTGTTAGTAGATATGTTTCTCATTTCTCAGGTTATTGTGGATGCAAATATTGTTACAATGAAATTAAGCTGAACAGCACAGTACTTCTAGAAATTAGCAAAAAGTTGGATTCAGTGCTGATTAATCAGGCAATCATCATTCGGTCTGTCAATCCAGATCATGCTAAATCCATGATACCTTTAATATTCCTTCTATTCCATTGAAAACAAGGAAGGACTTTCTAAAAACGGAAACGTTTTTAGCAGCAAGTTGCATTAATTATGAAGCTATGGTATGTTTCATGTGATGTTAATTAATATGTATATAATGTATATAAAATTTACTAATTATAATAATCACTTTACGTTCCTTAACAGCGAGATCTGCTTCATTCTAAATGTGCTAGCGCTGTTGGCACATCTATTCCCTCAGAACGCAGTGTGACAGGGAATATTTTGTCTAAATTGATCTCAAATGATCTTGCCAAACTGATAAGTTGGAATGGGTCAAAACTGTTATTCTTTCTCTCTCAGTTAAATACATTTTTAATTAATTGTATCAAAAAATGTATCAAAATAATGTAGGAACCAAGGATCGGGAGACGAATAGCTTCAAACAGCTTCTTAAATAACAACAATATTGTATTTCTTGAAGGAAGAAACAAGGTAATACAATTCGCACTGTTGGTTTGTACTTGTTTTTCTTAGCTTTATTAGCTCCTTGCAGCCGCAAAGGTGCCCGAATGAGGTTGTCCAGTGATGCCAGAATGAAGATACGGCTCACACGGAAATCGAATGAAAGAGATGTACACACAGGGAGAAGGCTCGTACGTAGGGGTATGTACACACGGTCACAGGAATGCTTTAACACATGAATTCGTCAACAAATGTCAAGACACCTTTGAATTGACTTGTGAAATTTACACTCGTGCATACGTGGAAGTATGTACGCGGGAGTGACGAACCGTGAGGTTCTTACCTTTGCCAACACACACACGCACACACACACACGCACACATACGCACACACACACACACACACACACACACACATGCACGCACGCGATGCACAAAATCCGACCAGGCAACCTCCCCTTGGTGCGCATCGGATAATACTAATGCTGACGGTACTGTACCTCTCAAGCCTCATAACTCCGAAAATACTTAATGGAAAGGAATTTTCTTATAGTGTTTTGAAAAGTTCTTGTAGTCAGCTACAAGGGATAAACTTCCGAAAAGCTATCACCTCCGATTTGGCTCATTTTTAGTCTAAATACTTATTTTATCTAGTAAATAATATTCCCAAATGGATTTTGGGCGCAAATGCCCTCTCCGCTCCCCAGCCCCTCCTCAAAGGTAAAACTGTTTTTGTTAATTATTTTAGAAAGTATTCATTGTACGGAAAAAGTTGTCAAACAAAAAATAAAGCCCATAAAATGCTCTATAAATAAAATCTTATACATATTTTACCTAACTCCAATATTTTAGCCGTTATTATCAAAAATCTGGAGGCAGTGTGTTCCGTCTCCCTGCGGGGGGCTCCACCATCACAAAATTATACACATAGGGTCTGGATTGAATCTCGCTTTGCGTAGAAAGTCGTAAACCCATGTGGGACCTCGCTTTGCGTTGTAAAGTGTATGCGTGGATGCAGTGGGTGCCGCCTTTCCTATGGGGGCTTTTACAAGTTTTTTGATAATAACAACTAAAATATTGGAATTAGGTAAAATATGTATAGGATCTTATTTGTAGAGCGTTTTATGAGCTTCATTTTTTGTTTGAGAATCTTTTCCGTACAATAAATACTTTCTGAAATAATTAACAAAAACAGGTTTACCTTTGAGGGGGGCGGAGGGGACATTTGCGTCAAAAATCCATTTGGGAATATTATTTATTAGATAAAATAAGTATTTAAGCTGAATATCAGCCAAATCGGATGTGATAGCTTTTCGGAAGTCCACCCGCTACAAGAATATGCAATCAAAAATAGGGGTTTTGGTTAAAAAATTATAAAGTGATTTTTACGTGATCTTAATAACGCTATCCAAGATCACACTAACATTGCTATGTAATGCGCTACTTAAAACCCAACAACTTTCACATAGAACATTTTTCTTAAAAATGTTTTATTTTCGAGATATTTAATTGTTCCGGGTCTTTTTGGGCAAGCTGTATGTATGTATTAATGTGTGATGCGTATGCATGTGTGTTCTTTTTCAGCGTATATGAGTCGATTAATGTTATGTGTTGGATGTTGAATGTGAATAATTATTATGCGCGCGCTATTAATTTAAAATGACACATACACACACACACACACGATAAATCACATCCAAACACTTAACATTAACTGATCCACATACGCCGAAGAAATATCACCCAACACAATTTCACACAAATCACACTTCAGACACACACATGCGGGGGCGTTGCAATATAGTACGCAATATACGCTCCAGCGTAGGGCGCAAAATTTGGAGAGGCGCAACATTTGGAGGAGCAAAATTTTATAAATGCCAATAATTTTTTAAGTGTATAAAAATTGACTACTCGGCCCTCGGTCTGCGAGGATCCGCTCCTACCCGGCTCGATGTGCTTGCTTATAAAACTGTTTAATCGCGTGGCGGCGCAGCAGCGAAAAAAATGACTCAATACGATGCCGCCCGCTTGTAGTATCTCATTTAATCACGTGGCGGCGTAGCGATGAAAAAAGTTCTCGCTACAGAGTTTGCCTACGTTATAAACTATATAGAGCGGCAAAACGCGCAAGCGGATAATGTAGAATATATGATTATTGTCATTTGACTTGAGTTCGGCCTTTCAGATAATTTTGTTATTGGAAAATAAACACAATAAACTATACTTTTCATTTTTTTTCATTTCTTTTTTTCTGGTTTATTATTACTTATTTTTCTTTTTTTTGGTTCATAAAATAAATATTCATTTATTGCATATATAGGTAAAAAATATGCAAATATTTACACGATACTTATACGAAATTATACGAAACCATGAGTAATAAAAAACCTTTTGGTTTTCAATTTCGTCAAGAGAGAAAGAACAAAAGAAAAAAAGTAAAAAATTATCGGGTTCATTGACTAAATTTTTAAAAACTACAAATGCTTCCGTTCATTCAACGAGTTCATTGGTGACACCCAAGTAGAACAAAAAGTCATTTAAAAATCTAGATGACATCAAAAAGTAGTCAAAAAGTAATCATTTCTAGAAAGTCAAGATGATATCATTTAACATTTTTAATGAAACATAATTTGACTTTTTAATGACTGTATTTTGACTTTTTGTTGAGAAAATGCAAATCGTGTTTGTGCAAAATAATCAAAACTCACGGTATATTATTATATTTTACGAATTTGTGAAAATATTTGATTTTTGAAGCAATAATAAATCTTGACTTTTCATTCATAAAATACAAAATATAAAAGCTCAAGAACACAAATCTCACAAAGTATTGTATATAATGTATATATAAAATTGTGAATAAAAAAGTCGAAATATATATAAATACTTCAAAATATTTTCACATATTCATAAAAAAATCCTGCGAAATATTGTAAACAATGGATTATATATATATATACATACAAAAAATGAAAATATATAATTCAATAATGCTACTATATAGATTTTCGAGAAACTTATTGAGTAGTATATATAAATAGGAAGTAAATAAATATAATTAATAAAAATAATAATTAATAATTTATTACTTTTTTTCTTGAATGACAATCTTGAGTACATAAAAAATAAAATTATCTTCTTTAATTTAAATAAAACATTACCTCATTTCTCCGTATTACTCTTTCGACGCGAGTTTTTGTACGACACGACAAAGCAAAAACGAAAGAACGCGAAATCGTATGCAGCTATTCAGTGCTGTGTGTAATTGTGTACACACAATATGTAATCATTATTTATCACAAGAAATCAAAAGATAAAAATAAAAATTTCTTCAAAGAACTGATATTTTGATCTAGACTTATATATGATGCGCAGCAGTGAAGTTGATGGCTACGTTGATCTTATATGAGCAAAAAATCAGCAAAAAATAAAATAAATCCAGATTATAATAAAATTCAAAGGTTTAGAAAATAAGATAATTGTTCTTAGAAAAAAATAAAAAAACAATCTTCACATGCTTATTTAAAAAAAATATTTTTAAATCATATCAACTGTATTCATTTTTCTTTGGTTACTTGTACTGAACCAACGTGAAATTTTTGATTGAACATGTGTAATATTACACGACGGAATCTTTTTAACAATAGCACCTGAAAAAAATAATAAATTAGTTTCTATATAATAAATTAGTTTCAAGTATATTACTAAAAACAAGATTTTATATATATATATATAAAATTCATTCAAAATTTACATTGAATAGCTGTGAGAATGTTCGTGTCTTGGAGTTTTATTTTTACAGACCCAGAACCTGAATAATTAACAATTCTTGCAAGTGAATTTGAGAATATTTTAGCTAGTAATTTTCCTACAGGTATTGTTTCCTTAGTTTTTCCAGTCGGCATCAAAAGAACAAAATAGTCAATCTGAAATAAGTCAATTATAAGTACAAATGCATTTTAAGTACAAATTTCATAATTTATTATACAAGTGAATAATAAAACAAAAAATATTGTTTTACTTTGCACACGTTACAATATGATCTATACCTGAATGTAACATGTGCAATTGAAATTTATTGAAACAAGGAAAAACAGATTTTTAACTTCTTACGCATAAGCATTTTTTAAATTTCCTATATATATATTTATTAATTTCTTAATTGATATTAACTGAACATTTTATTATTCAACATATTATATGTTTATATGTTTATGTTTTAACATACTTTACGTAAATACAAATAAGAGTACATACCGTTGCAA